TTCTTGGAAAAATCACTTTGTAGACACCACACAGCAACCCGCATCATTTCCACAACTTCTGCTCTAGGTGTTTGCATGTCATCATTGTATTTATCAACGATATCCAGAAGTTGTTCCTCTTCTACTTTCCCTTCAAACATACCTAGTAAATGCATATCTTCTTCAGGCTGAAACCTATCCAAATTTTTGCGCCCACACAAAATTTCCAAAACCACAACACCAAAGCTATAAATATCTACTTTCTTAGTGATAATTGAGCTCAATCATTCGGGAGCTAAATAACCAAGTGTTCCCCTCATCACTGTTACAACTTGGCTTTGGTCCTTGTCAATTAGTTTTGACAATCCAAAATCAGCAATTTTCACATTGAAGTATTCATCTAAGAGAATGTTTTGGGGTTTGATATCCAAGTGAAGTATTTTCTGCCTACAATCCTCATGGAGATAGGTTAGTCCATTGGCTATATCCATGATGATCTTCTTTCTGGATTGCCACCCAAGAGTGAGCTCCTGGTGCCTATGGAAGATCCATGTATCCAAGCATTCATTGGACATGTACTCGTAAACTAGAAGCTTATATGATTTTTTAGCACAAAATCCAATTAATCCCACCAAGTTGACGTGGTGAGTGCTGCCTATTGGCTCTACTTCAACTAAGAATGACTTCTTAACTTGACCAAAACCATTGAGATGCTTCACCACGATTTTGGTGCCATCATTTAATGTCTCTTGAAAAACTAACCCAAATCCTCCTTCGCCAAGCTTATTATTGAAATTGCTTGTCATAACACTCAATCCTTCGTAAGAAAATCTAATAGGCATCCCTGGTACTTGATCAACGAAGAACTCATCAAATTCCTTGAATTCTCGCTTATTTCTAAAAAGAAAAAAGCAGCAGGCAACCACAAAAAATACACCAAAGAAAGCTCCGAGACTAGATCCCAATATAATTTTGACATGCCTTGACTGCTTTTGAGGAGAGTATGTTGGTGAAGGAGTAGGATACTCTCCAGTTGGAGACTTCTGCACTTTAAGAAACACGGTGATGTTATCAAACCCCCCGTCATTATTGATAATAGAAAAGACGTCAAACAATAATAAGCAACTAGTCTTTGAATTATAGCCCAAATCATTTTTAAACAAAGCAGCTTTGCATGAACAGTTTTTCAAGCAACTCGTCTTGCAATCCTCTAATGCTATTTTTTTAGCCAAGTAAAAGATTTTGGATGCGTATGTATGTAAAAGGTTGAAGTAAAAGTAACTAGTATTGTTAAGCTCCAAAAGGGTGTGAGATTGTGAATTGTTACAAGAAATGGGTGTAACAAGGGAACATCCAAGGCTGGGTTGCTTATAATTTATTTGCCCGGTGGCTTCCTCAAGAGTAACTAGTATTGTTAAGCTCCATAATTGCCACATGCCACGGGATACCCACACTCACGCATGCTTAATGTCAGCAGATCAGCCACTGCATTCTAATTCCATTCTGTCCACTCATAAGCCTTCAAATGCCCATCAGGATCCAACCTTATGAACTGAGATGACGATGATGATGCAGCAGGGATTAGCTGCCCATTAAAGCTTTCATTCTTGAATTTGACATATGTCACATTTGAATGTGATTCAGAATAGGGCAAGGATGGATTAGAATCTACATAAGCCACCAGACTGTTATCCACCTGAAACTTAAGAGAAAACAAACCAGTAGTCCAGTTCAATGCGGATGTACTGGAGGTGAGCTTCTGGTCAGGAAACAAAGTCTGGCCAACAAGTAAGGAGTCAGTTGGGTGATCAAATGACTGCCAATCCGTTGCATTGTTTCTGTTGAAGAGGACCAGGTTTCCCAATTCGGTGAAATTCAAGCCGAAGACCAACTTTCCAGAGGTATTGGTAGACCATACGAAAGTGTCCTTAGAGTCGTGCAATATCAAATCTCCATCTTGAGTGAGTTGTAAGGTGGCCTTAATTTGAACATGACGGTTCCAATTAGCTGACCAAACCAGTTGTGGGTTCATTGTAACGGACTTGTATGCTCTTTTACCTTGTAAGATTACAACACCGAAGAGGCATGATGATAGCTGAGTTTGTTGAGCAAAAGGGCAATAGAAGCCACAGATCATTTGTGAGCCATTGGATGATGATGTTTCGAGGACGGGGTTGAGAATTAAAGTGGAAAAAACGTTGAAACTATTGTCAATTGAGGGTTTGTTGATCCAAATAGTTGCTAAGTTTGCCATTGGAGGTGCAAATTGGGCATTGTCTGAAGAATGGTACAGACGCTATCTATGAAGCACAGATACTTCAAATAGAGTGACGTATCCGTTTCGTATCCGTATCGGATACCGATACTCCTTGGATACTCGCAGATACGTATCGGATACTTATTAAAAGTATCGGATACTTCTTAATTAATTTTTCATTAATTTTGGAGTATCAGATACTTAATTTTGAAGTATCGGATACTCCAAGTCATGTTTACTTGTTTTATGAAATTAGAATTATAACATTTCTTGCATAGTAATATAATAAAATATAATTGCAAGTATAAATATAAGAATATTTTTCTAATACTTTGTTAAGTTCTTTGATAAGAAGAACATAGTGAGTTAAATAATATAATATATCAAATTGATGTATCCTAATTATTTCATGCATGTCCCCTATAACTACATAGAAAGTAATAATTAACAAAAGAATATAACAATGGTAAAATTAAATATCAATAAATACATAAGCAAATAAACTTGAATACAATATTTTTCACTAGTGTCAAAGGAAAAAGCATAGGGACAAGTTGTGAATTGTTCTATTATTGTAATATAAATATATTAAACTTGATACTGAAATGAAATATTTGCAAAACCTATTAAATATTTAAAAAGTAAACAAGCTACTAGCTTAAATTAATACAAAATTCTTAAAGGATAGTATTGTGCATTATAAAATTACATTGTGGTAACCCCAAGGCAAGTGGCCGAATGGTAAAGTCTGGAGGATAAAATCCACAAGTCTCGAGTTCGAGTCACCCCTTGGGACCACTGGAGGTTTGCCCGGTCGTTAACTTCAGGGCCCTCAGGATTAGTCCTGACTTCCCTTGAAATCAGCGAGTTGGGGATACCTGAGTTATCAAAAAAAAAAAAAAAAAAAAATTACATTGTGGTTTCTTAACATTCTTTAACTTATATGTAACTTACTATTAATAATTTTAAAACATATATTTTTCACAAACGTATCCTAGCCATACACGTATCCTATTTTTTTAGGTTTTGTCGTGTCGCCGTATCCGTATCGTGTCGTATCTGTATCTATGCTTCCTGGGACGCTATGAAAAAGATGATAACAGCACCAAAATGATAACAAATAGTGCAAGATAGACCCATTGGTGGTGCCATGCTGGTGGTGGTCTATGTCTATGTCTATGTTTATCCAATTCCAATAAAGCTCTGTTTCTTCCAGTTTTTGTTTTTGTTTTTCTTTTGGGAAAGCAATGGTGATGGTGGTGGTCCTTTAAAGGTTGTTTGATTCCACTCTAAAAATCATGGACACATTTTCTTCAAGACAAAAATTAAATATATCTTATAGCCGTTGGATGCCTTGCTTTTAATCTTGACCGTTGATTTCCATATTATAATATTTAAAGTAAATTTTTTGGTGATGAAATTCAATTGATATAGTGTCGGTCCAATTGATATAGATTGAGTTCAAATATAAAATTAATATAAACCACAAATTATTATTTTGAATTAAATTCTAAATATAATTGTTAAAATCATTTACAAACCGCACACATTTTGTTGACTAATATTACATGCACAAAAAAATCCAACTTCGATCTTCCTGATTGTAAGTTTGTAATGAAATATTTTTATTATGTCTCAAATTTCATTTAAAAAATTGGTATTAATTTGACTAGAGGGGGACTTCATTTCTATTCATCGCTTCTTATACCAGTGATCAATTTATGTGATTTTGAAACAAAGTGAACTAATTTTACTGATTTAAAGTGTTAATTGTTAAAAATAATAACTAAAGTGACACAAAGGTCACAAATTTTTATAAGGATATTTGGGGGCTTAAAATCTAGGCGAACTATTTTTCTGTTGGAACTCTTCATGGAGATAGAGCAATCTCTTGTTTCCTGTTAATTATCTACCATTACACAAACATTCATAAACTAATTGTCAGCGATTTGTAGGCACAACATCTGACCAATATTACCAAGTTTAGATGGTGAATTGAATACGAAAGACTCTTGACACGGTCTAAGCCATCAAGATGCTTCACTGCAACCAATGCTTAGAAGAGTCCCTTCAAAGACCAATCTGTATCGTCCTTGCCAAAGTTTCCTTTTGAAATTATCAGTATTGACTTTGAGCTCATAGTAAGAGAATCAAATGTACATTCCAAGAACTTGATCTTTGTAATGGACAGTTTGGCCATTGAATGCTCACCACAAAAATGTGCAGAATCGATGTAAAATGTGATAGCAAGAAAAATAGTGAAACACAGATTCTGGGAAAGCAAAGGGAAAAACAAGGCAAGTGAAAGTGAATGTTTTGTTCAATGTGTCACTCTTTTTGTGTTCCCAATCAAACTCAAGGTGAGAAGGAAAAAAAAGAAAAAAAAAAGGCACATTCTGCACACTAAGAGATGTACAAAATGTTTTCTTTCCAAGCAATTCAAGAACATATTTCATCAATTAAATTAATTGTAGTCATAAAATGGCTCTGAATTTCTCCAAACTATAAGCCGGCTTTTTTCCGTCTTACACATCTTTTGGAAAGAAAGTTTGAAAAACCCACTAATTGATGTTCTCTTGTTTTACTTGAATCGTTACTTGAACCATGGGAAACTCACATTGTCTCTCACGAAATATCGATACTTTTCCCTTTTACTACAGAACTTGAGAATGTTTGAATTAAAACTACGGGAAATCTACTCTTGTTCACTACATTCATGTGGTTCTATATGTTCTATGGCAATGATGATGGAAGAACTTGAAGAAAGATAAAAAGGAAGAATATCATTGACAGAGTCAAAATTTTATCAGTGGAAGAAGACATACCTAAAACACCATTAATCCTGGTATCATGGGGTGTGATTTGCACAAATAAAACTCTTCAATTATAGTTCACCACATGTTTAGGCTTTAGAAGAGCTGGGTGTGTGAACATGGAATTGTACAAGACATGTTTCCATAGCTTTCTTCCCTTGTATAGTGATGCTTAATTTTATAGTAAATTGAAATCCTAAAACTTATTAGACCAAAAAAAAAAACAAAAGGAGAGAAAGAAATACTCAATACTTTAAACAGTCAACTGTAATTTGTTTGTTGAATTCTACTTGCTTTATCTTGGTCCTGATAAAACCGATGGAAATAATGGACTAGCAGCAGCACCAATGGCATCTTCTTGGTGACCATCAGCTCTTATTGCTCTTCGTACCACAAGAGTTGTGAAGTTATAATCCAAATTGTTTTCAACTTCTACAGAACCCTCAAAGACCTTAATCACCACTGACATTGAAGGCCTTCTGGAAAAATCACTTTGTAGACACCACACAGCAACCCTCATCATCTCCACAACTTCTTCTCGATGTATCTGCATGTCATCATTGTATTTATCAACGATATCCAGAAGGTGTTCCTCTTCTGCTTTCCTCTTAAATAAATCTAGTAAATGCATATCTTCCTCAGGTTGAGACCTATCCAAATTTTTGCGCCCACACAACATTTCTAAGACCACGACACCAAAGCTATAAACATCTACTTTCTCAGAGATAATTGAGTTCAACCATTCGGGAGCCAAGTAGCCTGGGGTTCCCCTCATTATTGTTTCAACCTGACTTTGGTCCTTATCAATTAGTTTTGACAATCCAAAATCCGAAATTTTCGCATTGAAGTGTTCATCTAAGAGAATGTTTTGGGGTTTGATATCCAAGTGAAGTATTTTCTGCCTGCATTCCTCATGGAGATAGCTTAGTCCCTTGGCTATATCCATGATGATCTTCTTCCGGGATTGCCACCCAAGAGTGAGGTCTTGGTGCCTATGGAAGATCCATGTATCCAAGGATCCATTGGACATATACTCGTAAACTAGAAGACGGTGTGATTTTTCAGCACAAAATCCAATTAACCTCACCAAATTAACATGGTGAATGCTGCCTATCGTCTCAACTTCGGCTAAGAATGACTTTTTAACATGACCAAAACCATTGAGACACTTCACTGCTATCTTGGTGCCATCGCTTAATTTCCCTTGAAATACTGATCCAAATCCTCCTTCACCGAGCTTATTGTTGAAATTGCATGTCATGGCTCTCAAGTCTTTGTAAGAGAACCTGATAGGCATCCCTGGTACTTGATCGACATAGAATTCATCAAGTTCCTTGGATTCTGCTTTATTTCTAAAAATATAAAAGTAAAAGGCAACCACAAAAAATACACCAAAGAAAGCTCCGAGACTGGACCCAAGTATGATTATTATGAGTTGCCTTGGTTTTCTTTGAGAAGAATCTGCTGGCAAAGATGGAGATGAAGCAGCAACAATAGTAGGAGATGGAGATGGAGATGGAGGTTCTTCAGGTAAAGATGGAATATTGTTAACAACAATAACTGTTCCAGTAGTAATTTTAACAAGAGTAGGAGATGGAGATGGAGATGGAGATAGAGATGGAGATGGAAGTGGAGGTAGAGGTGGAGATGGAGGTGAAGGTGAAGGTGAAGCAGAAGCAGGAGGTGGAGGTTGGGCATTGCTGAAAGGTGCAGAGGACAAGAAAAAGGTGATAATAGCAGCAGCAGTAACATAATAATAAATAGTGCAACAACAACAACAACAACACAGATCCATTAGAACTCTGTTTCTTCTTCTTGATTACTAGTTTTTGGTTTTCTTTTGTTGGGAGAAGAAGGTTGAAGAAGAAAGGTGAGCTGTAAATGTTGTTTACGGTCCCCACTCCCTTTGCAAGAGTCCTTGAAATGTTGTTTACGGTCCCCACTCCCTTTGTTACGTAAAAAACAAGCGCACACATTCCTTGACTCACAGCCGGTTTGTTTTGGGAGACGGGGGAGGATTGAGATTGAGATTGAGATTGAGATGGAGATGGAAGTGGAACTCATCAATATTGTATTTGTTTTGGGAGATGAAGAGGGGATTTATAATCCCTTCCGAATTAGGATGAGCCTTGAGGAGGGGATTAGGATGGAGGATTGGGACTTAGTATTAGAAAATAGTCCGTCCGAGTATTATTTATTTATTTATTTTATATTTTTTACATGTTAGGTATTTTTTTTAAAACATTAATGTTTACTTTTATTTGTTTTATTTTATTTTATTTTTTATTTTTTACATGTTAGGCATTTTTTTTAACATTAATGTTTAATGTTTTTATATTTTTTTATCTGTTTTATTATTTTATATAAAAATAATTTAACAATCTGTACACTAACAACTATCATCAAAACAAACACAATTTTGCTTAATCTCCTTACTGTCAATCCCTTCACTATAAATTATCTTCTTTTTTAAAAACAAACCGGCCCGACATGTTAAAAACTATCGGGACTCTGATAGTCTCTGTTACAAGTTCATAATAAAAGATTTTTATTATATAGGTCATGACTATGAAATAGAAATGCAAACTTATAATTATTAATTTGAAGGGTAAGATAAAATTTCAAACGAAATTTTGATGTTACATCAAAAACTTCTATTTGATTATAGACTACAACTGATGGCAAAAATAAAATTGTTCAAAAAATGGATAGTTCAATTATATAATTAATCTTATTAAAAGGAATGAAGAATTCTATTATGCACACTTTCATACCATATGCACCCTTAATTACGTCATTTTCTTCTTTAGTTATAATATTATTTTGAGATATTTAGTTATGACTTTTTTGTACTTGGTTATAACTTTTCTTTTTTAGTTATGATTCTGAAATTATAAAGTTATGTCATTTTTTTCTATAGTTATAAATTACATATGATACACACTGTCTTTTTCTAAAAGAATAGAGGTTAAATTGATTTTTGAATGATAATTTGAGATGTAAAATATATATATATATATATATATATTTTAATTTTATTGGTTGAGGTTCCCAAACAAACAAGGAACATGATACGATTTGATGTTGTCGGTGTAGATGAATGATTAACATGAAACTTTAAAAGATTTTATAAAAAAATTGTAGAATTTCATATTAAAAATAAATGAAGAAAAAAGTCGAAGTTATTCTATAAATGTCACTCCTCCTAATTTTTATTACAAAATGAGTAGTATTAGTCACTTATCTTCCAATGTAAATTTAATATAAAAAATTTTAGTTTGTTTGACTTTTATTAATATAAAAAATTTTAAAATTGAAACAAACTAGATGTTTTGAGAAACAAACCAATAATAAAAATTTCAGTCACTTTGAATGTTTTTTTTTTTTATGTGTGGAAAATAACCTACAAGTCCTATATTGCTCTTATGATTTCTGATGAGTCCTATCAAATTTCAATATGGACAACTAAGTCCTATTTGTGATAAAAGGTTCCCAAAAGATTTATTATTTCATGATGATGTGTTTTATCCTAATTTTACCCTTTCTACTTAATATGAACAACAATTTTATAAATAATTTTAACTTAATTAAAATTTAAAATTTAATTGTAAAAATTATTAATCTTATACTTATAATTTTGCTTATGAAAAATAATTTAATTTGTAATTTTAAAAATAATTTAATTATAAAATTTCTAATAAATTAAAATTATTTATGAATTTTTTTGTTCATATTTTAATGAAAAAAATAAAATGAAAATAAAATATGAACAATTGAATTTTTTTAGTATAACAATTTATAAAAACAAATAAGATTTGTTTGTTAATATTGAAATTTGATATAGTGTTTTATGATTTTTTTTTTTTTATGTAACAAAAAGTGTTTTATGATTTTTTTTTTTTAATACAATAGCATAATTTTTACAATTAAAAAATATTATTTTACTTAGATTAAAAATATTTTCATATCAAATAAGGGGAAAATTGGTCTAAGTTCCCTCCTCTACTTTTGATAGGAGGGGAGATCCAAAATAATATATTTTGATGGCTAAGGTCCCTTAAGGTTATAAAGTACCAAATTTACCCTTCTTTTATAACATAAATTTCTTTGAATATTATATTGTTGACTTCACAGTGGATATTTTGGAAATTGACTTCTCGTGGAGATTTCGTCGGAGATTTCAGTGGAGTTGACGAGAAATTTGTTTGAATGTTATATTGGTGAGTTCACGGTGGAGATTTAGGAAACTAACTTCGCAGTGGAGATTTCGTCGGAGATTTCAGTGGAGTTGACGAGAAAAATTACTACGATCGTATAGATTTCGTTGGAGATTTCGTCAGAGATTTCAGTGGTGTTACAATGTGTTGATCGCGTAGATTTTTAGTAGAGTTGAATCAGGTTTGTTTTCGATGGAGATACCACATGCATTTTGATTTTTGTTTTGAATTTTTGTTTAGAGAGAGGCCAGCTTGATAGAGTTGATTTTTATTTTTGGAATTAATTTTTCATTCTATGTTTTTTGATCAATTTCAAAGAGTGTTGACAGTGTAGTTGATTTTGATATTTAGAGTTCATTTTTCGTGCTCTGTTTTTCATCAACATGTTGATCAATGATAAGTTTTGTTCTATATTTTTTCAAACCAGAGAAATTTTGTTAAACCAGAGAAATTTCATTCTCTGCACTTTTGTTGGTATAGTCCAGAGAAAATTATAAGTTTGTTATTATAATCCAACGAAAATCACAGAGAAAATTATAAGTTCATATGGACATATTATTAGAAGTTTCTAATGCAGATAGAATCTGAGAAAGGAATGTAAGTTCATAAATTTATCTGGACTTTTATTTGTAGTTCAGAGAAAATTATAAGTTTGTTACTCACTTTCAGACAAAATTTATCTGGACTTTTCTAGCAAGCACCGAAAATGAATGACACATTCCAGAGAAAATTACACATTATTGAGAAAATTTCCATTTCAGAGAAAATTTCAATTCATAATATTTTTGTTGAAAATTTCCATTCAACATGTTGATCAATGATAAGTTTTGTTCTATATTTTTTCAAACCAGAGAAATTTTGTTAAACCGGAGAAATTTCATTCTCTGCACTTTTGTTGGTATAGTCTAGAGAAAATTGTAAGTTTGTTATTATAATCCAACGAAAATCACAGAGAAAATTATAAGTTCATATGGACATATTATTAGAAGTTTCTAATGTAGATAAAATCTGAGAAAGTGAATGTAAGTTCATAAATTTATCTGGACTTTTATTTGTAGTTTAGAGAAAATTATAAGTTTGCTACTCACTTTCAGTTTGTAGTTCAGAGAAAATTATATGTTTGTAGAAAGTGAATATAACTTTTTGTTTCTCTGAGCAAAAGTTATTTTTTGTGTTTTTTCTTTCAGTTTAGATGGACAATGCAATGTTTTTTTCTTTCAATTTGTAAATGTCTCTGGACTTTTATTTGAGTCTAGAGAAAATTATAAGGTTGTTATTATAATCTAGAGAAAATTATAATTTTTTAGAAATTTCTCTAGACTTTTATGTTGTTCTTGTGAAGTGTTTTTATGTTGAACAAATTATTTTTCTTGTTTTTTCTTTCAGTTTCGATGGACAGTGTAGTGTTGTTGCTGTGCAAATATGGGAATAATACTATTGTCATTAATGTTTCATGTGAATTGAATTTTGATGAATTGGTTGGCATTTTGTGTAAAACATGGGAGAATTTGAAACCTGAGACTATGTGTATTTCATATTCTACTGTGGGCCATTCGAATTATATGGTTCAAAATAATATTGATTTTCTGAATATGTTGAGGGTTGTTTGTGCACATGGTGTTGATATAGTTGATGTTTCAGTTAGTAGGTGTAGTACTTCTGATGAAGATGGTGAAGTGGGGTCTAATTGGGTAGATGTTGTGGATGGTGAATGTGATAGGCTGGTGGATATTGAAAGGAATTCACTCTCTAAGTTTTGTTCTCACCAAGAAAATGTGTTATTGTCGGCTAGTTGGCGGAATAATATTACGAGTGTTGGACAAAAGTTTGAGGGTGGTGTGGTTGAGTTCCGTACTTTTTTATGCAAGTATGCTATTGAGGTTGGTTTTCAGTTTACGTATGTTAAAAATGACAAGCTAAGGGTTACGGCAGAATGTGCATATAAGGAATCAAGGGGATGTATGTGACGTGTACATGCTTCAGTTGAAAAAACAAATGGGTTCTTCTACATAAGGACTTTGAACAATGAACATACGTGTGGTGTGGCGGTTCGTACGAGTAAACATGCTAAGATGACTTCCAGCTTAGTTTCTGGGCTGATACTTGAAGAGGTAAGTGCAAAACCTTTAACTCGTCCAGTGGATGTTGTCAAAGAAATGAAAGACAAGATGGGGTCTCAATCAGTTATAACTGTGGTTGGTGGGGGTTGAAAAAGCAAAATGTAGTACATATAGGGATTCTTGTTTGTCATTCGATCAATTACGGTGTATTTTGATGAGCATTGAAGAACAATCTAGGTAGTCGTTTTGAGTTAGTTTTGAAGATAACAAGCATTTCAAAAGAGTGTTTGTGGCTTTTCATGCATGCATTGCTGGTTTCAAATATTGTCAGTCATTGCTTTTTCTTGATGGAACATTTTTGAAAGGACGATACAAAGGAGTTATACTTGCTGCAACGAGGAAAGATGGGAATGAAGGTAATTGTAAATATATCTAATTTTATCTAAGTATGTGAATTTTTCTATACATGTAGGAATTGAGTGAATGCGATTTTTCTCTGACACTTTGAATTTTCTCTAGTTTTGGCCACTGTGTGGATTTTCTATGGTTGTGGCCACTGTGAGAAATTTTCACGGATTTTGGTCAGTGTGTGAATTTTTCTCTTGATGTTGTCATTGTGTGAATTGTATCTGTAGTTGGTCACTAAGTGAATTTTGTCTGGATGTTGCCATTGTTTGAATTTTATATGTAGTTGGTCACTAAGTGAATTT